TACCAATCATGTCAGTAATGCTAACAGTTTGTTAAATCAAAATAATATAGAAATGAAAGAAAGATTTTGAAATAATGAATATCAGACTGATTGGTAAACTTTCACATCTCCTGGTAATGTACTCTTTCATTACTCTGTGAAAAAACCTGCACACACTTTCTGAAGAGGCATTTGAAAGAGAAGAACGAATTATGGGAAGACAATTCAGGGGAGCAATTAAAGAATTTGAACTTCAAAACAAACAAAACCAGAAGCAGCAGAGGAAAATAGGAAGGGGACTTTTTAGTGCTCATAACAGGAAAGGAGATGTTGGGAAGTAAATGAAAATTAACTTGTTCTGGATGTAATCAGCATGGGAAATGCTCCTGAAGCCAGCAAATGAAGAATTTTTTCTGCTCAAGTGGACAGTTAAAAGTGTAAACGTTTTAAGTGGTTATATATGTACATTAAGTCCAAATCTGCTCACTTCTATTAATCTCTTATTTTTCATAGGTTTTACAGAGGTTAATAAAATCTCGAGGGAAATCTCAAGCCAAACACCTTAATGTTCAGATGGTGGCAGCTGATAAACTGGCACAGTGTCCTCCCGTGAGTTACTGTTAATTGATGTCTCGTCTTTGAAAGATGCCTTTGTTTTCAAGCACGAGGTTAATTATGCAATTTCTGGGAATGTTTGCCCTCTTCTGGCCATAATTCACTATTGATTTTTTTGCAGAACACCTCCTGAGGTCTCTGGTCTCTGCACAAGGGTGCAGGGAAAAACAATCCTAGTCACAAGCAGTTATTAGGATGTGTGCTGAATACATTCACCACTCAAACAAGCTCAGCATTTGTTTTACTTGATAATTCTTTTGAGGTTATTGATCCAAAAATGAGCCTTCTTAGTGACTGACTGTGCTTTATCTCTGGCAGTGCAGGGTAAGGCCAGTGGTTTGGGTAGATCCCCTTGGGTGTATGTCGCTGGCGTTGTTGGTCACAGTTTTGGCAAAGAGCTGTGGGGTACTGCATAGCTGAGAGCTCTTGCAGTTCTTCTGTCAATGTGCACTGAGACAAATTCTTTCAACTTCCACCTATAAAGTGGAGATGATGAGACCCCAGCTGTGTTTTAAACGTGGCAAGCATTGTTACTTCCATATTCAACTGTCAAGAGTATGGGTAAGAGACCAGAAGATGAAGGTTCAGGTCAGATATGGAAAATTGCTATAGTTTTGGAGCTGAGTGAGGGGAATGTTTTCATCATGTAAGCTCAAGCATCTCAGTTAAGAGACTGGTATCCTCAGGTCCCCAAGAAGTCAGTGAAGAATACTAGAGACCTGCGTAGTCTCTCAAAGCTGCCTGTGGGAGGACTTCTGTCTCCCTGACCAGGGAGGGAACGGAGGAAACTCGCCTCCTATCTTTAGATGCCTAAAATTAGACCGTGTGACTAATCTCTTACCTAATTTTTGTATGACACTTGGAAACTGTATGATCTATATTACTTGTGTTTCTTACTGTTATTAATTAGTCTTAGTTTGTCTTAGTTTTCTCTTAGTTATACCAGATATGGGAAGTGAATCCCTTTTCTTGCTATTCCATTTTGTTAGAATAGCTAAAAATTTCAATATTTAACCTTTCTTTCTGGATATTTGAGTTTTAAGATTTGTTCAAGCTGCCTCTTCCTATCTTCATTGACTGTCTATTACTAAATGGAAGTCATGAGGACTTGCTTTAGCAAGTGTAACATTAGTGCTAGTAATGATTGCTGTCTTTTGTATCAATTGCATTAAAAAAACCCCAAACAACAAAAAGCCAAAAAACAACCCAAAAGGGTGCCATATATTAACACAAGTATTAGAAATGTGGTTCATTTTTGACGAATGGAAAGTGTGGTCATCCATGTCTCTAGCTGATCTCCCTTTAGCTGGTGGTGATTCTCACTAAAACCTTTCCTTTATCAGGAAATGTTCGATGTAATTCTTGATGAGAACCAGCTTGAAGATGCTTGCGAACACCTTGCTGACTATCTGGAAGCCTACTGGAAGGCCACACATCCACCTAGCAGCAATCCTCCTAACCAGCTTCTCACTCGCACACTTGCAACAGCCACTCTTCCTATTAGCCCAGGTCCAAATATTAATTTACAGGTACAGTTTTTATGCCATTTCTTCTTGTTTTTTCTATCAACTTCTTCCTCTTCCAAAGCGCAGTGGTAGTCTGATACTAGAATATGCTGAATATGTCTTACTGTTGTTGACAGAGTAAGAGCTTTTTCAGTAGACATTCACCCGTTTTCAGTATAAAAGGCAAATACAGGCACATTATTGTTATTGCTATTGTATTCACAGTAGCATGTGTTTGTATATTGACTAGGGGGCTGGTTTTGATTCCAAGGACTAAGCCAGCCTGACTGAAAACATATGGTGATGTGAAGTGCAATACTTAAGATTTCATTGTGCCCAGGACACCACTGTGCCAGTAGTATGTGTACCAGCCACAAGCATTTTTATAGCTGGCCATGTGTAATCCAATCAGAGGAATAAAACTGGGCTAATACTATGCACGTTACAGCCTCTGGTAGCTCTCTGACTGATGGGCACGCTATCGCTGATAGGCAAATCCCAGCCCCAGAGGCCCTGCATGACAAATTGGGTTACGTACGGAGCAGATCCGCAAATGTTGGAGGGAATCTGTTCCTATCTTCCCACAGGCTTTAGAGTTGTAGAGGTTGAAAATGACTGACTGTATTACTGAAGTCTCAAGGTCAAAGTGGCCCCTCCAGTGTTTCCTTTGTTCTTTTATTCATTGGCCATTGCTGCGAAAAGTGCCTACTTCCTTCAAGCCAAACTCTTACATAAAACCCGAGTTCCACTGCACATTGTACAGAAAGACCTTGAGAAGCAGCATGTTCTGAACAGAGAGGTACTGCCTAGCGAGCTGGGAAAAACAGGCTTCATTCCCACCTCCGCACTGACCTGCCTGGTGACTTTGGGCGTACTTTGTCCTCTCTTTTCTCCTTCAACTTTTGCTTTGTATAATTGTATTCAGGTTTTCAGCATAAAGAGATCCTCTCCTTTGTATATATGTTGCATGGCATGAAGTGAGGTCTTTAAAGATGCTACGTCATTATAGTGAATGACGTCTTGAGGCCAAGAAGATCTCACTGGGGGGTTAAAATACAGCTGTCACAGCTCACATAATGGCATGCTACATCTAAATTTCCCCCTAAGTTCCATATATACCCATAAGTTACATACCTAAAAGTGAGTTAAAATTCATAACTTTGGCTAAGAAAAAGGCCTCCTTTTAGAAAATCACAGGAAAAAAAAATGTGCACCCAAATTAAAATGCTGAAAAATTGCTTTTTGTTTTTATGGTCTTGCAAAACAAATTTTTGTGTCAAAGAATTTATTTCCCATTAGAAGACCACAGACTTGACAGGTTTGTTCTTTAACAAGAAAAATTGCTTCAGCCACCTTGCAGGGTATCTCCTTCTCTTGCTTTCAAAAGCGGTTGCAGGAAAAGAGACTGTAAGCTGTAGCTCATTTCTGCCTTCTTTTCTGTCCTCAGAGCTGAAACACCCTGAAAAAATTGTGAGCTGGAAGAATTTCTGAGTATGAAATTCAGTACTGTTGTGTGCAGACTTGCTAGATAAGCTTTTTTTGCTTTGTAGACATGTTTATTATTTTGCTTGAGGGTTTTTTATGCCTTTTGGGTGTGGATTTATAGTTCACTTACTTACTCATTTTATTAACCACATTCTCTGGAGGGACTATACAGAGTTTTAATAACACTTTTCTGAATGTTGTGCTATTTCCTTACAAATTAACAGATTTTTATCTTAAGGACTAAAGATGAGAATGTATTTGCTGTTTCACAGTTTGTTTGTAGGTCTACTAATCCAAAAGTGCGAAGCAATGGGGGTCCCTTACGGAACATAGAACTTTTACATTCCTTTCATCTTCCTATGATACATTTTCAGTTGACATCTCAAACCCGAGCCTGTCACGGTCTTGGAATAGAGTGGGTTTATTTTCTAATCACAGTGGCTGAACCCATTCTCTCAATAGTGTTAGACCCTCTATTTGGAGAATTTAAAGTCTATGTCTGTGCCGTTTTTGTGGACTGCTCTGCAGAGAAAAACCGTGCCACCAGCCATTTGGCCTGGAGGGGCCAGATCCGCGCTGCAAAGCATTTGAGTCATTCTCCCCCGGGGCCAATGCAGCACCCCTTCGCCATGAGACGTAATTGGGTTTTGTGGTTTTTCAGTCCCGGGTGTACATTATAATGAGAGATTTGTGTTGCCAGCTGCCAGAGTGGTATTTTTATAGCATGATGCTGACTGTGTGCATTGCATGGCACGAGGTGCTTGAAGGTGCGAGGGCTCCTGGGACTGTTTGATATGAAGTCGGTGAAGACCGTACACCTCCTGTCTATCTGATGGAGAGCTTTGGAGCAAACTGTCCTGACAACTGTTCTCAGGTTTCCTTTCGTAGGAAAATAGTTGGCTAATTCCAAAAAAGAAGACTGGAGCGACCTCACACACACATGGTGCAGGCAATTAGGAAGTACTGGATGGAAATAGGGAGAAAGCCAAATTGACTCGGTGGACACAGACTTCTCTCTCCTCTTTCAACACTGCCTAAACTTCTTTCCAAGAACCTCTACTTCTTTGAAATTACAATCTGAATAATGACATGGGCTTATCTCAAACTTTCCCCATTTTAGGCAAAAAGCCTTGTGAAATTTGGCCATAAAGTTCCTGTACTGTGGAATCTACTCCAAATCAGAGCCCTAATTTGGTTATGAACCACAAAGCAAGACCCTAATCCAGATTCAAACATTACCTGCTCAGTGTTCTTGTAATATTTAGGAAAAGTTACTGATGATGAATTTACCCATAAATCCCAATAGTCTGAAAATTCTGAAATTGTAGGCATTGGTTCTAAATTTATTCATTGCGTCCTCCACACGTACTCATCATAGCAGAGAAGATGCATCTGAGTTTGTAAAAGTAGCATTCTGTTCAAAGCAGGTTCAAATTCTGCATTTGTTCTCAAATCACAGCAATGTCAGATTTTATTAGTCATGATTATATATATGGGTACATACAAATAAGGCATTTGACCATATGAGAAGTAAAGGGTTTCGGGTGTGTACTCAATTTATGTGCCTTAAAAATAGTCATGGTTGTGAACTGATAAAAATGTGTTTACACATCCAAAGCAGGCATTGCTTTAGACTCTTTAGCTTTTCATTTCATTTCATTTATAATTCACCTCTGTTGAGTCATTTCTGTTCACCTTGAACACATCTATTCATGTTTACAATGACTATATTCCTTTTCTGGCAAATCAGAATCATCTGGAAAATCATAAAAACAAGAACAAAAAAGAAATTTGATGCTGTTTCTGTTACCTTGTTCTTATCTGTACTATTTGCTTCAAATTAGAAACACGTGGAGCAACCCAGCTAGTCACTGGGAAGTTTACAGAACAAAATGTTGTCTTGGAAAATGAAGACTTGTCAAATTTATCAAATTGCTGATTCAAAATATGTTGCTTTTTATAAGTTTCTGATAAAATACAGATTTGTTCCTGTCCAATTTACTGTAATTTTACTTTTTGGGTTGCTAGGAAACCCACCTGCCAGGATCTGTGGCTGAAGGACAAAATTTCCTCCTTCCTCTAGCTCTTTTCCACAAAATAGAAAGACAGAAAGAAGATATGTCCGTGAGCTGCCCTGGAGGCAATCCTTACTTTTAGACAACTCTGAACATAGGAGGCCAAACTGGAGACTACCTGTGGTAAATTCAGAACAGTCTCACAAACAAATGCCTGTGTAACTGTTAAAACTTACTTTAATTTTGTGCCAGTAGACATGATTTTGTCTTGACGTTCTTCACCTCATGTGAGAAGGATAATTCAATTTTGTCATAAACTATTTCTTAAAATTTTGCAATTAAGCTTGAAAAGTCTTTGGCTGTGGTTTGGGAATAAAAGCAGGTTAATGTAATGAAACCGTCAAATGAGTAAAATAATGCCACTTGTTCATTTTGCAGTGATTTCAAAGCATTATGCTGGTGAAAAGTAGGTTTGTTATTAGCTGGTAATTTTTATTTCAGTCTTTTAATAGTAGTGGTGTGTTAGGAAATTCTGTAGGTGATAATATCGCTCTCCTCCTGCTTTTCTTGGCAATGGTCTGTATTCTTGAGCTCTTAAAATTATGAGGTCAAAGTTTAATTTTTCATTACCATGAAGAAATGGAATTATTGCTGAGAAAAACAGGTCAGTGATACTATTAGTATCATAATACAAACTTCATTCATACTAGATCAATTGCAATTTTTTTCTTCAAAAAAAAGCTACTCTAGAAGAGCCAAGTTTTTATACTTTGGTTCTCTGCTGGAATCCACCTCCTCAGCCCTCTAAAATCACCTTCCCAGAGTGGCTGTTTCCAAGCAGGCATCTGTAAACTCTCAACTGATACCTGCCCTCCCTGGCATGACGACACGTCCTATTTAATTTTTCTGCAGTTTGTCCTGCTTCTGCGTGCTCTCTTTTTATCCAGAGTGTGGTAGGCAATTGTTGCTAACTGGCATAATCAGAAACATCACAGGAGATGAGGAAGTGTCACAGAATAACCCAAGTGCCACCCTCCATTCTGATGAGAGTGAAAGGAATTGTTTGTATTATAATACTGAATTTTCAGTAAAAGTTGAATTCTAATGGTTTTTTTTCTAGTTTAGATTCAAAAAGTGGATCGTTGTGTACTTAAATTTTATTGGCTTCATGGTACTTTCTAGTTGAATTTGATATCGGGGAAAGTTTTTAAATGTGTACTTCATGTACGTGAACTTACTGCTGGTTGTGATAGCAGGGATCTCAAGGAGACCAGAGGAATGACCATTCAGTCCCTGAACGCAGCGGTTCACAAATTGAAGAGGAAGCACGGGTAGAACCCATCAAGAAATCCCAGCATCGCTCTTCCTCAAGCCAACACCACAACCATCGCAGTGGTGTTAGAGGCCTTTCTAGGCAAGAGACTTTTGACTCAGAAACACAAGACAGCAGAGATTCGGCTTACGTAGAGCCAAAGGAGGACTACTCACATGAGCATGGTGACCACTATGATTCTCACAGGGATCACAATCATAGAGACGAGTCCCACGGGAGCAGTGATCACCGACACAGAGAATCAAGGCATCGCTCAAAGGAGAGGGACCGCGAGCAGGACCACAATGAATGCAACAAACAGCGTAGTCGTCATAAATCAAGGGACCAATATTGTGACAAGGATGGGGAAGTGATATCGAAAAAACGTAACGACGCAGGAGAATGGAGCAGGGATGTTTACATCCGGCAGTAACTTTTGCCTCCGGCAGTCTTGTGTTTCTTTGAAGTCTTGTAACAATGCCCCTTGAAAATATCTTCGGGTTCTTCATTGCAGAACATATGGTATCCTTCTGTATGCTGATTTGTATTGCTGTTGCTTGCATAGCAATAGCATGAAATAGAATATTCATATACTTATTTTTTTGGTTAGTGCTATATGAATTAGCGTACTACAACTGCAGAGTTCCTGATGTTGTACTACGCCATTTTTCAAGCTGTTTTTTGGTAGCTGCCACTTGAACAATATCTGTTGCCATCAAGGTGTTGTTAGTGTTTTTTAAAAAAAAGGTACATTTGATGTTTAATAACTTCCCGTGTATTCAGCAAGCCAGAATCAGCACATAAAAAAATCTAAAACTTTTTGTCTGCTCTGATTTTTAATTTGTATGCACTTGATTTGCATTTTGATTTAAGAGCCACTATCTGTTGCTTGTACCTCTGGTGGACTCCATTTGAAGACAGAATTCAGTCTTGCCTTACACACAGGGGATCATAAAGTCAAAATCTATTTTCTATGTACTGGTACTGTGTACTGTATATACAGTTTATAAATGTTATTTCTGCAGACACCTTCTTACTATATAAGTTTGATCACACTGTTTTAGAGTCCTAATGCCAAGTCAGCAGATTTGCTTTTGAATTACTGGCAACTGGAACTAGCCTCATTTAGGAAATCTGTAACAGTGTTCAATCTAAATACTTCTTCTTCTGTAGCAGAAAGCTTATACTTACTGTAAATACGAATGAGTGCTTGAGACAAAGGGTCTAACTCTTCTACCTTATGCTGTCCTTGCAAACCCAATTTTGCATCTTAAATTTATGGTAAAGAGAACGAGCTTACCACTATAAATTATTCTTCTCTGTACAGGTCACGAAATTGCAATGGACGCAGCTTAATTTTTGTTCTGTTGTCAGAATAATAGAGCACACGCGACAGAGGTGTGTATGTGAGCGGGTGGGTGGCGGATGGGCGTACGTGTGCATGTGCACGTTAGGCAGCAAGTGTGAGAATCTACTGAAGAAAACAAAGGTTACTCAAAAGCCCAACAAGTCTGTTCCTTCGTTCTGTCTATTAATTTAAAAATCCAAATTGCAGTCAGGGAATATGAGGGAGTTTACTGGCCCAGGTAATTGAGAAAGCATAAATCTGCTGGCTCTTTGTTGAGACTTCAGGAGAGTAAAAACAGGCAAATGTTACTGTGAGTGTTTCACTGGAAATGTAAAATCTTTGTGTTTTAGAGTATTTGTTTTAGTAAGAAAAGTTTACACAGCTTGTGGAGAGTTATTTTGTTGGAAAATAAATTTTTGTAGCTTCTCCACTTTTTCTACACTTGCCAATTCCTCTGCATTCCCACTCTGCAGCCAGCTCACTGCTTTCCTTTCACCTGAACTGTTGTGCTCCTGGTGAGGGCTTAGAAAAATGACTGTGACAAAATACTCTGTTAGGAGCTTGCTAGAGAAAATGCATTGAAACCGAAGGGAGTGAACACAGTTTGTTTTGCATTGAACACCTGTTGCACTGGTAAATGGGGAGAAATTCACTATTATTTTTGACTACAGGTTCCATACCCTTGCCTAGTGTAAAAGCTGTTCTGCATCACACAGAGTCTTTGTAGTATTGTACGCATGAAATACTTTTTGTATTTCACTGTAAATAGCACATTATATAAAGGCTGTAGTGGGATAATAATTAATTTAGCTGGAAAATATTTTTATTTATTAATTCTAGAAATATCAGCATTGCCTGATTTTGAATATCATTTTAGTGAAATGGATAAGGTATAAGGCAGGTGCATGTTTCCTCCAATCTCCTATTCCAGCGTCCAAGCAAGTCACTTTAACTCCCTAAAACATCCTCTGTCCTCCCCCGCTCTCTCTTCTGCCCCTCTCCCTGATGCTTTATATGCATTTTTACAACAATGATGTGAGAGTGTGGAATTCTGCTGTCAGATACCTGGCCCTTCCTCCCAGTGCTGCTGACTGTTGTGGTTATTCAAGGGTAGTATTTGGCTCAAAGCATGAACTGTGAGGAACACAACGAAAAGGGTATTTTTCTAGAAATAAAATTCTCAGCATTTTTCTAAACATCACTAAATGACTTTGTAGACAGAGGAAGCATAGGTAAGTAAATCTGTTATATTACTGAATGGATATATAAGAGTATATAAACAGTGGCTTTTGATATGAGAGGATTTTCAGGGTATCAGTGGAAAATGACATTGAAAGACTGTGTTGTTTGAATCATATCAGATCACATGTAAATGGGAAGAGAAGTTGTATTGTCTTGCTCTCTATAGCCTGGCTTTTGCTATTTTACCAGCTTCAGTAAATGCTGCTGCTCCTACAACTGTTACATGGCAGCTGTGTCCTCCAAGAAGTCATCTATGGATTCTACTGCAATACCTTAAATCTTTTTGTTGGTTTTTTGTTTTTTGTTAACTTCTGCTCCATAGAGTGTTTATTTTCCACCTTTCGTAAAGTATTTTTTAAGGAATGTTTGGCAGAATTTCAAAGCACTGTGTATGAAAACTGTGGAGTAGGTAGCCATGTATAGACAAATAAATGAGAAAATAAAGAGCAAAACCCTAGTATTTAACTAGGGCCTATATATTGATTTATGGACTATAAATATCACAAAAACAGGCACGTCCCAATCCAACTAATGAGAGAATGGTGTTTTGTATAGTGCTGCTAATTATGTACAGACAACATACTAACACATGCATTTCTTAGGCAGACTCACTCAGTAGGTTTTTATTAGCCTTGCTAAGATACTTTCCTTCAGTTACTGTTCTAAGAGTGACAAGTCATTTGTAATGTGAGCTTGTACTACACATATTGCACAATGCCACCTGCCTGCTGAGCACTACTTTGAAAAGCACTTTAACAGAATTATTTCAATAAGAAGCTTTAAAAATACTCCAACTGGAGGACATATCAAAGGTTATTGTGATGAAATGTCTTTGCAAAGTTTTGCTAATAGAAAGCTTAATATTATTGCTTGCATTAGGGTACTAATTGAGTTCATATTTCTGTACCTGGTTTCAGGAGCTTTGAATCTGAGGAATGGTAGAGGTCCCAGTGAGCTCCAGAGTCTTCTTACATATGTGTGGTACAAAACAACTTTCTATTCAAATGAGCTAAAAAGATGATGAAACCAGTGAGACAGAAGGAAAGGGAGGAAGAGAAAATAATTGATACATAGGTCTTGTCAGCTCTTGCTCTATATTTTTCTAAAGAATTTCAGTATATGGAAGGAATGGGATGCATTTTAACATTTACATGTACATATATATGTTAGATGTTAACCTTATTTTTGTATGTCTTTTCAAAAGAATACACATCAGTGCTGTTCAGCAGCCTGAGTCTATCCTTTATCAATTGTTTAGTGTCATACAAACATCTTGGAAGAAAGAATTCTCGAGGAGGGACTGGAAGGAGGTGAGAGTAACAGTCTCCAGACCTGCTAAGGGACAACACAGTGGGTATGAATAAGCAAAGATGTTTGTGCACAAAGGCAGCATCAGTAGGAGTTAAGAGCTGAAAGAAATTATTTTTAAATCAATCCATAAATTACTACCTACAAATTAAAAATTTCATCTAGAATACCCATGAATTCATATTCTGTGTCTGGCATCAGGAGTTCAGAATTTGAGAAGAGTTCCACAATTTTTGCTTCTCAAGGTGTAAAATTAAATAGGTAGTTTCTCCTAAGGATTTGGCCCTAACTAATGAAGACCGGTTGTAAAGCCACAATGAGTTTGAGTGGAGTACCTGTTTCCACAGAATTCTGTAAACTCTTAACTTATAGCCCTTATTATAAATGGAAGATAAGGAAATTAAATTCTACTCACCAAACCCTGAAAAAAGGTAGAGACCTATTTTCACTTCTCCCTGCGTATCTGGTTACTCATCCTATACATGCAGTTCCTGCCCAGGCCTCACACCCTGCCCCTAATACTCACTGTCTTTTATGAATTTGTTAGTAATTATCATTTTTAAGCTCTATTGGTTTGTAAAGTCATAGTCACGATCTGTGACACCTGCAGAGTTTTAATGTGGTCCGTTATCCCCTGAGCTGGAAGGCACTGAGGGGACTGATTGATTGCTTTTAAGTCAGTGTCTGTCCAAAGTAAAAAGATCGGTATCAACCACCTCCTGCGTTAGTTACTAAAGCCTCTTCAAGATTTATTTTGGCTTGTGGTTACATTTGACCTCTGATTGCTTTAACACATCAGGCTGAAAGCTATTTCCCAAATGCTTTTGACTTTAATTCTATTCCATCCATGAAAATAAAGTACATTGCAAAAAAACTTTATTACATAGTCTAAAGGAAGAACAGAGAAACTATTTTTCAGAGTGTAATATAACATTTCTGGTGTACATTTACTTATATTTATTACTTTATTGCAGATCTTTCACCAAAATTTTAGTTCTTCTATCATCTGTAAAATATGTGGATGCCATTTTTATTGTGAATGTTTTTTAATCAAATATTATTTGATCGAATATATTGCTTGGCAATTTGTCTGTAATTTATTTCCCCACTTTTATATAACAAACTGTTACATATAAGCTTACAGTAATTTTATAGACAGTTTCTTTTTATAACTTGCCACCCTAGAGATGTGTTCCTACGCAGCCCAAAAAAGATTTATCTCAGATATAATAGAGATTAAGCTGGTTCTTCTAACTCATTCATGTTCTCTTTTCTTACTTTATTCTTACCACTTTTATCTATCATGCTTACCTACTCTGCAATAACTTCTAGCAGTACAAAATTGGATTTGCTTATAAATTTTTAGTCGTGAACAATTAAGCATAAAAAGAAAATATTTTAAACTGTCCACTCCAAAGTAATTTCTTGTTGATCACCACCACCAGACTATTTCCTATTAAAACATTCCCGTTTCCTTAAAAAGCATATGAAATCCTATGATCTAAAAATTGGTGGACTCCATGACACTGAAACAGGAAAAAGCTGTATAATAATTTCATACTATAATAGGCTGCCTATTTTAATACCTTTATATTGACCAAGATAAATATTTAGATTTGGCACTATTACTAATCACTATTTCTGCAAATAGAGAAAACTACTTTTCAGACTTTCTTAAAGACAGGATCTGATTGCATGCCTGATCTATCTATTTTGTAGGGTTAATCTTTCATTACAATGACAATAACTTTTTTTAATTTAATATATAAATACCTCGTATAGTATAAATAAATATATATATATATTC